TGAGTTTACTTGTGAAATATAAATGCTGACATACAAGAACTGCAATAAAAACACATTGACATTTGCATTTTGTGTTGAGTACGGATTTATTTGGCATGATTTGAGCTCGTATCGACGATTTCCAAGGAAATTAGTTTGGTAATCACATGGTTCAGTGACGTCATATACGCCACGACCCCAGACCATCATTGCTTAATTCCGAGGACATCAACTTTAGGTGTGGCGAACGTATCGACTTACAATAATGTTTTACTTTTTGCCGTGTTGAAAATTGTATACGTCATAATATTTTAGTAACTTATGTCTAAAAGTAAGGCGAAAAAAAGGATAGTTTGATATAGCCGGATATGAATGGAGCTAGGAGCATAAAAAATCGAACAGGTGGAGATAAGAACGGGTCAGACATGCATTTGTCACTATCGAAACTGAGAAATGAGTCAAAATTTACTCGAGACAAACACAAAATCAGTTCTCCTTTATTGATCTGAAACTTGAAAACTGGTGAAGCAGACTTTAAGGGCTCGTAATTGCAAGTATGATCTGAGTAAATATCAAATGCAGAGCTACGAAGAAGAACACCAAACACCTCTAACAAATACGCAAGCAAACAGCAAAATGGCACTGAATGAATCGGAAATATATCCTTGGTAGACCATAGATTAACATGAAAAGACACACCCAGACCCCTAGAAGAATAAATATGGAGACACAAAGTAGGGCTTAGAGATTTGAAAAGTCAAACATGTTGCCTAGGACGAAAATGAATAGAGAGCATTGTTTTACTTTTTTGAGAAGTTTTGTACCCCTGGAATAAGTGAGATTCTCTATGTTGCACTAAAGAAATCATCAAAAGGATAACGAGATCGAGTCTATAAAAAATTAAATCTGTGAACAGACGAAAAAACACCTGCCACTGGAAATACTACAGGTGGAATCAGGTTCCAAGGAGGAGTAAGCATGCCCTGTTGAATGGTCATATCTGTTGTGGGTCTTATGTATTGATTAGGTAAAAAATGCATTCCATAGTCAAATTTAGCATAAAAGCAAAGGTCTACTATACGCATGAAACATGACAGCCAAAATACGACTCATTGATAGGTTATAGTTGTTAACTAGGTCATTTAAACATCATTCAATTTACGAAATGCTGGCTTTAAACGAGGCTGTTGAAATCTCCGTAACATCCACTTATCTGTGAGTAGCTTGCCTCCCTTTGAAATTCCATCCTGGTCAAAGCATGCTCTTTAAAAGTATTGTGGGGGATTTATGTATAGGCATTATTACATGTAGTAGTATTATATTTTACTACATAAATAATTAATGGAAGATGACGATGGAAAAGCAAAATTCAGCCCGTTTGTTATATAATTTACTTGTAAGCTGGTCCTTTTCGTCAGTAAAACATCCAAAAATGTTTGCAGTTGTGAATGACTCAGTGGTGTCTTTTATTTCAAGTTCACTGGGATATATCAAGATGAAATATGAATGGAAATAGTTCATAAAACGCCCCAATATACCTGAATGTCAAGTTGAAGGCCACAACAATGTTTTTCTTCTTACATGTATGCACAAGATTTTGAAAAAAACCCTCTTCTTCACAGGAAAAGGAAATCGGTTATTAAAGTAGCACAATGAGTGCCCATCGGTATTCCAAGTTTGTTGAAAGACTTGGTCATTGAAGAACTACATAAATCTTGTCAACGAGGAATTCCTGTATCCTTTTAATATTAATCCTGAGTACTTGTGTGTTTGATTCGGTATAACATAACTTTTGACCTCAAACATTGTTCTTACTTAATCTATATACTGAAGAGAAACAAATCAAAGGCAAAATGGAACTGTGCTCACTAAATGATATCCCTGACTTCCATATAATAAAAATGGCAAAGTCCATGTTTTAATTTGGGGGACCCAAAATAAGTGTCAGAGAAGATATGCGCAACTGCATCATGCAGTAAAATATCTGTGAAAGAATCATTTAATTTTATTCAGTGGTATAGGAGGAGTTGCGGATAAGAGATGGGTATCCCAAAGCATAACAGACGGACGGACTACAGACAGCTAGACGGACATTCCTGATCACTATATAACCTCCCACTTACCAAGCGGGGGTATAAAAATTACAATATCTTTTTATGCAATAAAAGGAATAGAGAAAAACAATGCGAGAAAAAACATGCACGTACATGTACAACAGCACATGTACATGCATTAACATTTTCATGGGAAGAAAATCAGTATTAGTTGAAAATAAAATATTTGAACAGTTGAAACGGAAATTTTTTATTGACATATATTTGAATTGAGAGTTTAATTCTTTTTATTGTGATACTGGTTATATTTTCATGTTATTTTAAGATCGAGGAACAAGATAGAGAGAAGGAATAATGGTCTAGATATTATACATGTACATACCCGTCTGAAAAGCGGGGGTACACATGTACGTGTATAGAGTGATGGCGGGGGAGTCCATCTATCTGTTCGTCCATCCGTCTGCTCGTATTATAATTTGCGGTACCCATGTCTCTGCTTAAAATTGGATGAACCCTTCACGGAATTTTCATTCCATAGCACGTGTTATTGTACAACTTTTACGTTTTGGGACAGATATTTGAGTGCTGCAAAAGTAAACATCTTTAGGTCTATGTTGTAAGCCATAAAATTGATTTTCGAAAAGAGTAAGCTTTTCTACATCCTTTAAACTTTTTTTTTAAATTTGAATAAAGTGCTATTGTTGTTGATGAAAATAAAGATTGGAAATAATTAGTAAATTTTTCGATCATTGAAGACAGGCGAACAATGCGAGCAAAATGCTTAATATGTGACAAGAACTAAATTTAAAAGAAAATTATGACTTTTTTGGAATGTTTAATTTTTTGAAAGATTAATTTACATCATACACTAAACTCAAAAAGATTGAAATACATGTAGTTTGTCTATGAAATACTCAAATAGTATGCACATAAACCAAAATGGTCAAAATTGATCGTTTTTTCTGACTTGATCGATTTTTTTTTTCTTCTTCGGAGTGGGTCTTTGCTTCATTTTATTCTCTTCAAGACATTTTCAGTTTTCCAAAAAAATATATATATTAGAATCCCATTTTACCAAGGATCAAATCACAAACATAATTAAATGCTGCTATTTGATTTCAGCTGTGTTGTGTATATGAATGAACAAATTTAAGATTCAACAAATATTTGAATGTTTTTTTTTTCTTCTTCTTTATCATTTTCCAATTTTTTTTTTCTTGTTTATTATATAAACTATTAATATATTAATGTACTGTAAAGTGCTTTGAGTAGCATTTATGCTAGAAAAGCGCTATATAAAAACAATCATTATAAAAACAATCATTATTGTTTTTCTAAAGGGTGTTAAGAAAGTTCATTCCATATTTTCTTTTATTTTCGAAAAGGAATATGATGAGAAGATATTTACAATTGGTGATATTTCATGTTTAGAGTCCATTCTTGCTACTGATATGGTTTTAACTGTCTTTTGTTAAATCAGTTAGGGGAGAGCAGGTATTAAATCAGGTGATGTCTGTGCAGAAAAATTAGGGATGACGCATATTTGTGACAAACATTAAGCACACATGTCAATACATCCTTTCAAACACTATGCAAAAATTATCATGTCAGTGAAAAATTTCAAAATGACAGGCCTATTCTTTTGAACAGTGATTTTTCATTCTTATACCTTTACTCATCAGCTTGTATGATGCAAGATAAGCTATGAAGAAAGAAAAGTAAATTACCCTATATTATCACTCAAAATGACCAGCATTTCTGTCATTCGGGTGCTTTAAAGATGTTAAATATATGTTTTCAGCTGTGTTTTGTAAATGAATTGCTATAAATCTAAAACACACTCTTGTGAATTTTGTCAGACTTGAAAACTCATCTCATTAGTTAAGCACTACTTTGAAATTTTTGAAAATATTTCATCATGGAACGTACGAACTTTCTTAACACCCCTTATATGTTTTCAGGTTGTAATAACCGAAAAACTATAATAGATGTGATTTTTAAATTTGGTTGTATAACTTTGATAAATATAAGGATAAAATCTTTCAAAAATTCTGTAAAAATTCTGATTTTTTCTACTTTATTTCAAGCATTTCAATGCGTGAATGATAATACATGTATAAGGAAATATGGTTGACAGAGTTATCCCTCAAATAACTTGGGTTTTATAAACTTAATTTTAAGCAACACAATGTTAGTTAATAATTTGGGTTTTGCTCTGCTTATTAAAGACCTGAAGAAGCTATGGCAATAATAAGGTGCCCTTAGTCAGTCCGTCTGTCTGTCTGTTAATATTTTTTTCAAAATGTATTTCCTCTATAATTTTTTTTAAATTTTTTTTTAACAAAAGTATGCTTCACTATGTTTCATAATTCTTTGAATCGGTTTTAAATTTCAATGATGTTTGCTTTATTTTGGTTCCTTTTTTTTTTTCTTGCTTGTGAAGTTAACTTTTTTTGTCTCGCCGGGGCTGCCCTCTTCAAAACCGATGCTATGTCACTGTACTAACGTTGGTATAGGTCCCTTGCTGTATTATAGTGTATGTTTAATTTAGACGATATTTACATGTACATGTATGTATGTCAAACTATGTCTACACAAAATGATATAAGACATTACAAATTATTTATTATTAGCACATGTGAATATATTTATTCCGGGTTCAACATATGTAGGGTCACTAAGATATGAGAAAATAAATAAATGGTTAAATAAATTTAATAATTTTAAATTATTTAGGTATATTTAACTCATATTTATCGCAGTATAACTTACATATTTCAGATTAGAAACTTTTCACAAAAGTTAATCTCCGCCAATTTCCGACAAAGAAATTATTATTGTTTACGGAATTGACCGAGTAGTTACGATTGCTCGGTCATTTCCGTCCATGCAATGGTGATGACGTCAATGTATACGATTTGCACACGACCCTACAGGAAGTCGAATTCACTGCAGAGAGAAACCGTCAGAAAGGTAACAATTTTAGTAAAAGAGAAGGAGCATTCATCAGCAAGTGAATTTTTGTAGGTTATAACTTTGTAATTTTGACATTTATTGTTTTTTTTATAAGATTGATAAGGTTTATTTTTATGAATTTGAAAGACTGTTTATCAAATATACGCACTCGATTTATAGACAAAATATTGAGTATCGTTTTTTCATTTCATCAACTTCATGATCATAAACGAAAGAAATTCCATAACGTCATTGGCAATTTAAAGTACATTGATGTCAATGGCTTTATTGTTTCTAGAGTTTTCTTTTAATAATTGAAGAATGATGTGTAGAAATATGGTCCATAACACAAGTGTCATTGTGTGTATCTTCATGACACTCCCTTTTCAATGTGCGTAGGGTTAATATGTATTTCAAAATTATGTAATTTTACATATTTTAAGATTTCCATTTAGTTACTTTGATAAAATGCATTTTTTGATTATTTATTTTTTAAGCTTATAAAATTATTTTAAATCTCCAGATATATTTATACAATTAATTCCTTGTATTCAATGATGTATTTTAATAATTTTCACATCTTTACTAAGTTACATTTACTTTGATGAAAATGTTTTGTAAATGGACATGCAATTGGAACAGTTAAAGGCACATTTCCCTTTTTTTTTTTTACTTTAAAACATTGACATGAATGCGATCAGCCATCTTAAAGCGAAACGATGATACAAGCAAGCGATGTAAAATTATTTTAATTTCCAGTAGAAATATATTATGAAGATTTCTTATCAACTTTGATTCTCACTCGGAAGAATTAGAGAGCCTCATGTTATTGGTCATTCATTACTGATTAGGTGTAAGGTTGATTAAATAGGTCTACTTAAACTTCTTGGCATTAAAGGTTGACACTTGAGTGACTATTGCTTAGAATACTTATTTGGCAAGTTCGCCTTTGGCTATTTACATATCAGAAATTCCTTCCAATAAGTCAAAATTAAATACCACATATTTAGATTACAGAGATAGTCAAACTTAGAGAGCTATTATATAGGGTCAGGCACATAGCATCATGTTTTGTAAGTTGGAAGTCAAGCCAGACAGAAAAAATGACAACATATCTGAAAATAACAAAAAACCTTGAAAAAAAAAGAAGGATAATTCCAAATTCAATTGAAAAACTGGGGGAAAAACTAAGAATGATTGATGATTTATATTGTGTTTTGATTTTTCTTTCAGTGTTTGATTTATGTCTTTATAAAATTCCAAATTTCCAAATTAAAAAATTCTTATTTTCATTTGAGACGGGTGGTCTAGAATATATTTTGTACGAGTCAGTGTTTACTGAACTTGCATGCAATGATTGTTATGCTCTATTAATTCTTAATATATGTGTCATTTTATATTCTGTATGTATAGTGTTAAACACAGGGTAATTTAAATGTGTTTTGATCGTTTCAGTTAAAGACATCATGACTGACGCAGCACCCCCACCCTATCCAGGAAACCCTACTAAAGGACCAGGTACCTATATATTTCCATCTCCAGTTTTATTTAATATTAAGTTAAGAAAATGTGCTACAATAACACATATATTATATTGAAATTAATCGCAGGAAATTGTGTAAAATTTAAAAGCTTTAAAATTAAAGAACGACTCGCATGATTCTGCTTTTAATCACATATTGTGTATATCCTTGCTGGTTCTGATTACTTCAATATGTAACCTGTATCATGTGTATGTAGCCAAAACAACACCTTTAGCATACAAATATCTATAAAACCATATTGTAAATAAATTCACACGAGAGAAAGGGCATCTTTGGTTTAAACATTATAAATTTGCCAAATATATGCACAGCAACTGAACAAGAATCTGTAGACAGTTAGGACTCAACATTTAAAATGTATGCATGGCTTGATTCATTGATTGTAATGTATGATGGTCTTTGCCTCAGTTTAGCATATTTTACCATGACTAACATTATTCAAAGTAAAAAAAAAATGGTGATATTTGAATAAGGATATCTAACCTATTTGTTTTTTTTACAGAGCCTGGATACCCACCACCTGGTCAACAGCCACCAATGCAAGGTAAATTACCCCCACCCCACCTCCCACCACTACACCCCACCCCCTGTTTGGTATGAGTTGATGAAAATGAAAGTACACAATTAATACTTGCCTATATTCCCCTAAAAACATTAATATTGTAAGTTTTAATAGATATGAGATATTTAAAAAATACACAAGGCATTATTATTTTTTTTAACAGGATACGGTCAGCCCTATGGACAGCCCGGGCAGCCTGGAGGTATGTATGACTTGTATGTTTAAGGAAGATATATAAGTGTTCAAACCAGGAAGCTATACATGTATTTAAGGCTTTATAAGATATTCAAAGCTTTATAAAAACTGTTTTTTTATCAACAGCAGTAAGTTGGGTATTTAATGGGTCTTATGTGACATTTAATAGCTCTAGCTAGCTTTCACACTTCATATTCAAGCCAACACTGGTTTTCCATAGCTTCATGTGAAGAAAGGAAAAAAAAAATGATTTACAAGTTTAAAAACTTCCCAAGGTCAAATGAATTAAAGATTTGTTTGTAACTGTGTAGTTCCTGATCATAAATTTACATCCACTGAATTTTTTTTTAAATCAATCAGTCAATGCTAAACTACCTGGTAGTGAGGATCTGAATTGTAAATCCATCTGTATGAAAGATATCTTAAGCATTGAGCTCTTACATCAATGAAACATACAATATTATAGATCAATAATATTATAATATTTAATATATGTAAACCTAATTTATACTATTCTTTATGAAGATTTAAAATTAAACAAGAAAATTTCTTTCTTTTTGTGTTAGTTTTGGATAAACGTTTGCAACCATTGCAAAAAAAAAATTACTCAAGCTGATTGGTTATATTTTTATCTGTAAAAGTTGCAAGCATTTATTTTCACAGAAACACATTTTACTGGTATTGTTTAAATAAAAGGTCAAGGGAGTCGCAAGCAACATGCATGCTTTTAGAAAAATTATTTGGCAAAAATATAAAGATATCATTAAGACAAATACACTTTAATAAGCATCAGACATAAGAGCTTTTGACTAAAATATAGCATGCAGTTCAACATTAATATAATAAACATTATGCTTTTAAAAGCTTTCAATAATATTTTGTATATAGCATTAGTTGATATTTTTCTCCATTCTCTAAAGGTTACCCACAGCAGCCTTATGGACAGCCAGGTAGTAAAATAAATGTTTGTGCAACTTAGACAATAGTTTGAATGTCTGTAAAATACTCCCAAGAACATTTCCCTGTATAATTAAACTTTGATCTCTTCTAACCCCCTGAACTATGATATTTTTTGTGCCATAGAGGACTAGAAAGTCATTGTGCAAATTACACTGTGAGTTGCTGTCAATGCAAAACTACTGTAAATCACTATTAATTTCATAATTACGCGAGACAACTGCAAAAATTATTATAGAAATTATATAAAGCAAGAACCACAATTTGTGAAAAAATCAGGATGTGTGAATGCGAAAATTTAGGTATTAATTTCATTGAAACTGAAATTATTAAGAAATTATATTGAAATATGGTGAATGCAGGATTGAACATTTATCAGGATGCTAAGGAAAATTTGTACAAATATAAATAAGGGAGTTCCTACTATGTAAATAACAGGAAAAGGACTGCCGATTTGCACAGTGACCTTATGAATGTCACATCATTTGTTTCTATAAATATACAGAATGACATGGGATGATCTTTTGTTAAGTTAAAATTGATTTTTCACATGTTAAAATAAGTATAGTAGGACAGAGCATGATATTCATATTTTTGGTCTATCCTGTTATTGTACTCTAACAATCTCTACATGAATTACTATTGACCAGCCTATGGACAGTACCCAGGTAAGAGTTATCTCCCCTCACTAGATTCCTGTGATGTTTCAGTACTTAGCGTAACAGAGATGTGCTTTTAACATGCACAGAAAAAGCTTTCCCAGAGTTTGATATTGTTGTTTGAAAAGATTTCACTTTCACAATGGAGGATCTCACATGTATTAATATTAAATGAATTTTCTTTTAACCAATGTGTGCATAGTGAAAAATAATGTTTTTTGTTTCCTATTACTAGCTGTTTCATTTGTCTGAAAGTGAAGTATTTAAATTTCATAAAATAAATAAAATTGATAGAATTTGGACAATTAAACCAACATCCCAATGTGCATGCGGCCCCTATTTAACTAAAATAATTAAAGCAAATCTTGATGTATGTAGATAATTATTTGTTGTGTGTTTCACAAGAGTGGATCTAGCATGTAATTTTTGTGCACTTATTTGTAAACAGAGAAAGCATTGTGTCTTGAAGCCAAGAGAGAATATGTAGGATGCTTCTAATAGTTATGCTTCGTGAAATAATAATTTTTGAGAGTTAAAAAAAATGCATTTTAAGAATGCAAGAATGTGCATCTGTATGCCATCACAGTTCCAAGTAGATTGGACACTATAAAATGTAATCTTAACTAATGTATGTAATTAAAAAAATATTAAAATTAAGTGTAAAAGCTGTCTGGAAAGCTATCAATTTAAAAAGAGGCAGTAACCAAACATGGCATGTGTTTTTATAATTGACAATTAAATTGTAGAGTGACACATATTTTCAATGTGATTATTTCAGGATATGGACAGCCACAGGGGTATGGACAGACCACGGTGGTGGTGGCCCAGCCTGCCTTGACCATGGTCCAGCAGTTCCGTGAGACCCCGGTCCACACCAGGTGTCCCCACTGTCAGGCCGAGGTCGTCACGGCAACCTCCTACGAAACGGGAACATTTGCTTGGATCATTTGCCTGGTTTTGTGCCTGGTTGGGTAAGAAGTTTGAAATTGTTTTGTTCACATGAACTTTTTTTGTGATGACTTTTGGTACAAGCATGATGTGTTAAACAAGTTAAGTGGAGATTGTAGATGTTGTGATTGTAGATGTCAACACTTTTGTTTTAGACAAATAGAGTCGACATTAGAGATTTTTTAGTGCATTGAAAATGAAAATATGAAGGCGAAATATATTTTTAAAAAGGGAGGTGGGTCTTTGTTTATCAATCAGTATATTTTAACCTGACTGCTTTGCTAAGCTTTAATCTTGATGTATGATTGAAGTAAAATTTCATGATTTACCCATTTCGCCAAATTAAATTTCAACAGATGAGTTTTTATTTCATCAGAAATGGAATACATTGAAATGAAGGCTGCCTATTGAAGTCCCACCTTACAAGATTTTCCCCTTGTGAGTCCTCTATCAAGGGAAACGCTGATTAAGTGGGACCTAATTGATAAAACTTTTGTAATAGAAGCAGAAGTATTATATTTCATCGTTGTTAGCAATTATCAACGAAATTAAATCCCACATGAAATTTTCATGTGACTATATCTTGAAATGGATTACTTCTTAAACAAGGAAAGGATTTTCCATGCCCAAAAAACCGTTATAGATTACAAATAAATGGAATTCGATCCCCACAAAAATTTGTGTTTCTTACAAGATTTTAGAGTACTCCCTTGTAAGGCCTAATTTGCATAAACGCCGAAGGGCATAAAATTATCACGCAAGCCAATGATGATCATCTTCATGAAATTGAAAAATCTTACAGTTATTCCTTATATTTAATTCCGATAAAACTTTTGTAATACTGTCAGAGACCAGAAGAAATGCAGGTGTCCGTCGTCCGTCCGTCTGTCTGTCTGTCTGTAAACAATTTCTTCAAAAGGGATTATACAGTTTTTCTGATTTTAATATAACTTGGCACACGTTGTTAGCAATTACGGTGTTGCCGTGGTTCAATTTTCTGTGAAATTCCTTTAAAATGCTACTCCTCCTACAGTTTTCATCTGATTTCAATAATTTTCATAAGATACATAAAATAGTGCATCGGTTTTTGATTTCGATGAATGGTGTTGCCATGGTTACTAAAAATAGAATTTTCTGTGAAATTCCTTTAAAATGCTACTCCTCCAACAGTTTTCATTTGATTTCAATATAATGCACACAAGTAGACTACACTAAGATACATAAAATAGTGCATCGGTTTTTGACATGAAAGGTGTTGCCATAGTTACTAAAAATAGAATTTTCTGTGAAATTCCTTGAAAACGCTCCTCCTTCTACACTTTTGGTCTGATTTCAATATAACTTGGCACATAAGCAGACTACACTAAAATACATAAAATAGTCCATCGGTTTTTGATTTTGATGAAAGGTGTTGCCATGGTTACCTGTGAAATTCCTTTAAAACGAAATTTGTCTGATATTAATATTACTTGGCACACAATGAAATATTTGTGTTTCGATTAACAGTGTTATCTGTGAAATTCCTTTAAAACGCTACTACTTCTACAGTTATGGTCTGATTTCAGTATTACTTGGAGTACTCTCAAAGTGTGTTAAGTTGATTTAGCAATATATTATTTTCCTTATGATATAGCTACCATTAGCCTCCTATGTGGGTGTATTGTGGAATTATCCTTATAACTGTCTGTGAGCGGTAATGGCTATTAACAAACTGTATTGTACAAGTGTTTCCTGTAAAACATTTGCATGAAAAACCAGTAGCGAGGTGGAGACCCGAAGAGTTAATAAAAAATGACTATCAAGAGCAGCTTGTGAAATATGATTTGAATTCACACCTTTATTAAGTCTGTTAACTACAAATGAACTTAAAACATGAATTCAGATATGCTTTTCTTTGACAATGCTTTTGAGTCAAGCTTTCTGGTTGTTGTTTTTTTTTTTTTATTATGTTTGCAGCATGAAGTTTGACATGCTAGCTTACATCCTTGTCATGATATATTAATTGACTTCAGGTCTTTTTAACTTAAATTCAAATTTTATTATTCAAGGATTTTAATGAAAGACCAACAATTTGCAAAAATCAACAAAATACTTAAAAAAGACAAACAAAAAAGAATCCACCATGATATCACTGAATTTCTTAAAACAAATTTGAAAGGCAAAGTAATACGGCATGTTCTTTGAGAATCGTGTTTAGCTAGGAGTCGGCAGTGAAGTAACAACTAATCATGTGACTTTGTCCTAGGTAAGATAAAGAGTATCACTATTTCATTGCATTTTATAAACTGTTCAATGTTACTTATAGTTAATAGATGTGCTTTTGTTGAAAATTAACCTACATTTATAATCATACATTCAAAGATACATGCTTATACCAGGTAGATAGATCATTCTTATTTTTTCTGTGAATACAGTTGAGATCGAGGCATTTTTGACTCTTCAGGTTTAATATTTAGAGCTTGTTCACTGTAACCATGGTTTGGTTTCATTGTAAAATTCTTAAATATATTAATTTCATAGAACCAAAGTTGCTACAGTTTATATATTTAAAAAACTGGGCTGTGGGCTTAAGCATGACATTTCATCTGAGGCAAAATTATACACTTTTGTTATTTGATTACCCTTGATTCATTTGAGTTTTGGTACTAAATGAAAAGTCTTAAAATAAAACATGTTATTTCTCAGTGAAAACATTAGTAATTTAATTTGTTAAACTATGAATATACTGAAAAAATACCATCTGACAGTTCTGAAGTCATTTATGGAACACTATACTTTAATAGTACATCTATACCCAGGTTGAAGATTTCAATACTGTAGATTCCTAATTATATGCGTGGAAGTGATTATCGCGTTAATTCGTGAGAAGCACCACACGCGAAATAAAATTACTCGCCTTTATTTTTATGATGCTGAAATCTATGTAAAATCTCTTGCGTCCATTCGCGAATTATTATTCTCGCGATTTGCCATTGAAGAGCCCATTCGCGATAATAAGTACTCGCGAAAAATAAGGAATCTACAGTACCTACATAGCCATACTTGTTCATTAACTGTAATAAGCTTGTAACTGTACATCTGCAACTAACAAAAAATGCAAGTTAATCATAATCATTTTAAAATGATTTAGCAATTCCATTGTCCATGATGAAAAACTCTAATCCTTTAGAAGATAAAAATATATTATAGGAGGCTCAGTTCAAATCACTAAGTTATATGGTTTAACTTAAACACATATAGCATGGTCCTGGCCTCACATTATTCGTTTGAGGGATTGAATTTTTCTATGCACCTAGAAGAGAAATAATATACCAATGGTTATGGGCCTTTTTAAATGTGTTATGTTCTATCTGTGTTTATGAAATTCACTAACATGCATGTTTAAAATATTCAAGTGTAGGACCTGCAACAACTCTTGCAGGCAATTAGATGTTACTACTAATACCAAGGTACATGTAGCTTATGTGGGTTTTACTAGATTTTAAATGATATTTACCATATTCCTATATAATACTTTGATACCAAAGGGTCATGATATGAACAAACTTGAAGAACTACACACGTTATCTCTTGATTTCCGCCTACATTGTACACCCAATAATTCAATATCGATGGCAATTTGGCCATAAAATCTTTGTGTAATATATACAAAGAACAGTTCAATGGTAATTGACTAATTATTTTAATACCAATGCTAATTATCAAGTTATTCCTAATTCCAGCTCTCGAAAAAAGGGGGTAGATAACATTTTTCAAAGAAATTCAGCTTTAAAGCATCACTATATTTTAAAATAGTCTTTGCTATGATAAAATGTTCCTTAAATATTTTCATGTTTTACACATATAAAATTTAACACATATATATTAATAAAATACAAAGTTTTAGTTGTAAACCCTGCAAAGTCGGTGAAACGATGTGTTTGTGAAACACTGATGCCCCCGTAAGGCAGCTTATAGGGAGAAATGTATGTCAAACTCCTAAGGTCAAGGTCAAAAGTGTTGGTACCCCAAGGAAAGTCTTGTTGTACAAGAAATACACCTGTGAAATATGAAAGCCCTAGTTCTAACTGTTCAAAAGTTATGACCAAGGTTAAAGTTTATAAAAAAAATTGGTTGAATTCTGGTCAAGGTCAAAAGGTCATAAATGTTTATACAAGCTTAAAGGTCTTGTCACAGTGAAAACATTTGTAAAGTATGAAAGCTCTACCTCTAACTGTTCAAAAGTTATAGCCAAGGTTAAAGTGTGGTATTTTCTTTGTAAAAGTAGGTCAAACTCCAAGGTCAAGAGGTCAAATTTGGTGGTACCCAAAGAAAGGTCTTGTCACAAGGAAAACCCCTGTGAAATATGAAAGCCATAGCCCCACCCACTCAATAGTTATGGGCTATGTTAAAGTTAACAATAGACAGACAGACAGACAGACAGACAGGACAATAACAATATACTCCCGGGATCTTTCATTCTAGGGGAAATAAAGATAAGCATTTTTGTTGTTTTTTTGTCTATAAACATAATGGATTATGATATTGGTAATTGCCAAAATAATTTCATTTAAAACATTCTAATTGTACATACAAGTACTCTGAAGTTGACATTTAAGATGCTTGAGTTTCTGATAGACAATATCTATGTGGTTTTTGGAGAGCAGGTCTTCCAACAGTCTATTGGAATTCCCATGGGTGCCAATAATGGCCCGTTAATAGCAGACCTTTTTTGTATTCATATGAAGCAGAATTCATTCAAAATCTTTTGGTTTTGTTTTAGATGCTGGCCTTGCTGTCTGATTCCGTTCTGTGTGGATGGCTGTAAAGATGTCATCCACTCTTGTCCCAACTGCCACCAGACCATGGGACGCTACAACAGGATGTAGACAACCAGTCAACGGGGACCAGCCAGCACACTGAGAGGGTCTACTCAAGCTCACGTTGAGATTGAAAGAGAAGATGGGGATTTATCCACTAACTGAACTGTATCACCTGTAATACTTTTAGTGTTCTAATGTTTGTGCATTGTTTCTCTACACATATCGAGTAAAATTGCTTTTAAATTTTATTATGCTTAATAAGTGTAGCATCATTTTGTGTTTACATGAAATGTATATAGAGTGTATTTTTCAGGGGGGGGGGGGTTAGAACTGTTTGTTTTAAATGCTTATAGTTTAAAATATGATACAAAGATCCTATTTGGAATTTAAATTTGTTTTAATCTGGAAAATCCAATTTTTTATGACTTGTATGTTTAAATGTTTTAATTGTTATTTTCCCATGCATCCAGTTGAATAAGTCATATAACGGGGAGTATTGGACTCAAAGTTTTTAAAACTTTTTGGGCAAAGAATTGTTTGTGATGTTATAATTGATGGTAGTTGTGCAATGAATGACTGTGATGCTATTATGTAACTAAATTATGTTTACAGGTATATGATTTTGAGCATTGAATTATTTTTTATTAAACGAATATTTTTATTTTATCCAAGTTCATGTATATAGCAATGCATGCATCATCACTTCTTTGGCAAGTCCTGGCAGGACAAAATTGATATTTAAAAATAGACATATTTATTATCCATGATTAGGGCTTTAATTAAACACCATTTTAGGTAAGTTTGCATTAACAATTACCATGATGATTGATGTCTTAGTTTTGACAATTTTTTTAAAACAAAATCTTTGATTCCCATGTCCTTATAACTTAAGTTTTTAGATTTTTGTGTACAAATTGAATTGCTTTTGTATATTATTCATAAATCAAATAAACTCATACCTCATTACAGTGTATTGGGTTCCTCTATATTACAGTTGCTCTTAATTTCAATAAGTATTTCAACAATTTTATATAGAAAAAGAAGAGAACTGTCAAATGTCTTTAGACCATAATTACTTAAACATCACCCTGGCCTAAGGCTCAAGGCAAACAGTACCTGATGTCTATCAGTTTGAGATGTGTAGCATATGTTGACCAACTTTATCAATGTTCTTCAGAACCACAAAGCCAGTATCAACCAAATCACAACAATTTCAAGCATACTGTAGGAAAGGGGGGTTGCATGTTCATGTGATGTTTGTTTTTTTTTTTAATAAAGATCAACATTCTCTTTTATGCATATGGAAGATTGTGCAGAATAAAAAAAAAATCATTTAAAAAAAGCCATGCATCGGAATTCAAAAAAGGTAAAATGCAAGCAATTCCCTTATGCACTCAGATTTGTTGAAATCATGGCATCTGTGACTAGAATGTTTGATGAAGGGTCAACATTTGACAAAGGAATATTTTCTCAAAGCAATAAGGCTGGAATTGAACTTGTTAGATAATCATATCAAAGGAACTTTATGTAGATTTAATCTTGTTCAAAACAGATTTAACCTGTTGGGTTAGTAATTATTCCTTTCGAGAGGTAAAAATGTATTTGAGAAAAATTTTCTAGAAACATTAGGACCACCATTTTATTTGGTAAGCATTGTAGCACAGCTGGACTTTAATTTGATTCTGTTGGTTTGTTTTCAGACTCAGGGTTTCTTTTCAAACTCATGTTTTACTGTATTGAAACAAATATGGCTTTAGGTTTGTGGATATAGGACTATAGATATACATGTATATCCAATCCCAGTGACCCAGTGAATTTAATAAGTGCATATTATGTTTTAAAACAATCTGATTGGAAATCAAATAATGCTTCCCCAAAATATATTTCACTCCTAATCATTTCTGTGATAAAGTCAATAAAGTGAAGAGTTAAAAAATCCTGTTTAATTTTTTTCACAAGGCCAAAAAAAAAAATGTTCATTAGCAGTTGCCTACTTACCCACTTAAAATGAACCCAAACTTTTTACAACCATTTTGTATTTTTTTTAAGGATAATTCAGAAACTGTTATCCCCATTTTGATTGTTTTTAAAGATCAATGGCTTATACACATAACAGGTGGAGCTTATTTAGGAAGTTTATGAAAATCTTAATATTAATTTTTATCTGAAAAATCTGAAAACTAAAATTTTATTATAAAAAAAAAATAAAACTTGTACTTACTTACCCAGTCTAAAAATTACAGTTGGCAATTGGCAAACAAAGAATTTTTTAAGCTTTGCCCAATCACTGAGCCACTCCCTCATTTGGTTATTTTTTAAATTGTTCTTTTTTTGTGTTCTAGATGTGATCTAGGATGTTGCCTCATCCCTTTCTGTGTTGATGGCTGCAAAGACGTCACCCACAGCTGTCCAAATTGTCGCCAGGTCATTGGCCGATACAACAGGATGTAACTGGTGTCATGGTAATGGAAGGAAGATAAAAATGGATGAAGACAAAAGACAAGACACAAATTTGATTAAAGCACAAACTTTATCAAACCAAGTTTGTTAAACAATCTTTTATTGTTATTTAGTGATATTGTTGTCTAAATGTTTCTTTTTTCATATATTCATGCTTTTCAAATTTGCATATGTATATTGCTGTGGTTGTTTTAAATTTCATCAACAAAGTAGATTTTAGTATATGTATTATGCTTTTTTATTTAAATTTATGTGATAAGAATTTTAATTTTAATGTGATGAAAAAGTTTTACCCATGTACTCAGCTGGAAATTTTTCCTTCTCGATATTAGGCTTTTTGGATCTGTATGAACACCAAACAATTTCTTTGAATGTTTATTTGATATTTTGTTGCAAATTCATCACTATCTATTTGGATTTCATGACTTGATTAGTTTTATGTTGTTAATGATATTATTTCATCTTTCACTTATTTTATTGTATTGTTTAAAAAAAATGAATTGTAAAAAAATAACTACCTGTAACAAGTACATGTAATCAGTAAATTTACTGTAATCTGCTCATTATGTAATGTATTGTAATAGATGTAATATATTTGAAATCCACTCATTTCTTCAAATAGATTTTATTAAATATTTGAAATACATTGTACTCTCATTTTCTTCAACTCGATCTATATTTCCTGATTTCTTTTTAAGATTAAATAGCTAAATTTTCACATTAAGGTTAAGAATATTGACTGATGAAACATTTAACATTGTTAATATGTTTTTTCTTATGTTATTCAGATATCCATATGCATGTAATAATATGCAAATGAATGTTTAAAATAATAAGGAACATTTTTTTACAATGTATGTAACTCCTAATTATGATAATTGGTAGTAAATGATTGCAAATTTCAGGTAAATCTATTCGTTTATTTTTTTTTTTTTTAAAGAATTGTGAAAACTTTTTATTTTACTGCAGAAGGATTTGAAACTCTGTTATCTTATTTTGCTTCTTACCACATTAACGGCATACATGAATATTGTAATTCCATTATACTCTAATAACTATTTCTTCTAGACACTGATAAAGTTTGATTCCATCACTCGTTTACTGTTCCACTTTCAGTTTTACTCTTGCCTCTTGGTGTTGGAAATATACATTATATTCTCATAGAGTTTTTATCTTAACATGAATTTTAATATTTGAAAGTGTTATTAAAAAATCAACCATTTTATCTTGAATTATTTTTCGCAAATATGCAGGAGAATTACTATGGAATATTCCCAGAACTCTGTGTCCATGACTGAACATTTAAGGGAAACTTGATTTTGTTTGATGAAATATAGAGATGACAAACGGTATTGATTATGCTCTTAGTCCATTTAAACTACACAAATTGGGAATGGAGCTAACAAGGATCTTTTTACATCAGAAGTGGGAGTCAGGTGCCTTGGAGGATTGAGCATCCCCTAATGACCGGTCACACCTGCTATACACTCCTTGTAATGATCCGGGAGGGGGGTATTAATGAGTATGAAAAATGTCAGTCAGCCTTACACTTAACGATAAATTGTATTTGCTGACAAGGTCATTGTATAAAACTTGCGAAATGATGACAAACGACATTCAGATTGTTGATGCCTTTGTTTCTTCAACTTGTTTATCAAAAGCTTGTCTCGTTTGAGAGAAATTATTCATACGTAGAGCATGCTGTTGAGTATCGAATTAACTGCCAGACTTAAACCCCATATGCAGGTGAGAAATGTATATTGCTACTGTACATACATGTACATGTAAGTAAGAGAGGTTGATGACTGAATAATTGGGAGTCATCACGCTTATCATAAAACTTAATTGTCAGATCATGAACGACTTTTTATAGTAAAATGTACAAAAACATGATACAGATGTGCTGACTCTGTGGTATATTTTCATATTCGAGTCGACATATGAATTGATAAAACGTCGATGCATCGAAATATACATGAACTTAGGCTTGATTCGAATTAAACTCTCCATGTTAAGGTCAAGATCTAGTAAATAACTTTAGACTAATTTTTTGGTGCTAAATCCATTATGACGTCATAATCAATTTCAACTTTCTTTTTCCCGTACTTTACGGCTTTAGCAGAATTATGTAGAAAATAGGGTATTTTCACGACATTCAGTTTGAAATCATATGAAAAGTAAACCGGATACCTATATGAAATTTGATATTGATTTAAACAAGAGGCCATGAATATACTAATAACCGTTTTCTGAGAGACTGTAGGCAATCTGGATACATTTCCTGTGTCGAATATGGAAAAAACTCCAATATTCATGACTGGTTTTCTTAATTTTTCATTGAAAATGACAATTTAGAATACAGTTTTTCATCTCGATTACCTACAAATTATGCCCCGAAACACCTTATTTGACCAAGCTAAAGTTGTAAAGCATCAATAAAGGAATTTTTTTCTCAAGTTTTATAAATCTGTCGGCACCTTTCATTTACTAGATCTTGACCTTAACAGAGGGCATTAGTTCTTGAGTAATGTTTTTGAAAGTTAGTTAGCTTTTGCAATGAATCTTTATATCTTAACTTCCTATTTGTAAAATACAACTAATGATTTTAATATGAGGCCATTCTAAAACTTGTCTTATTAGCTTCCACTCTATATCCGAAAACCTTTCTATCTAGAACAAAACACATAAGAAAACTTAAAAAAAATAATGCGTTTCAAAAATTTATAATTGCATTTGGGTCGGAAGCAAACTGAAAAGGGGTGGGGGCTAAACCAAGAAAAAAGGTAAGCCCCTATATTACGTCTAACTCTGCAAAATAAAGTGCCCCCCCCCCCCCGAAGCATTTGAAAATTAGAATGGCCTTATTTCATGCATTTTATTTTTAAAATAAAGACTTCTAAATGACACACAGTTATTTCTAGGGAGTTTTATTTAAGGATCAACAGAAACATTCTCAACACAAAAACAACGAAAACAAAAAGTTTTAATGATAAAAGTTTCATCTTAATATTATTTTTCTATATCATCAAATCATCTTATTTAACATAATCAGTTCTTGATCTTTTTATAAAAGCACATTTGTATATACATGTAACAACAAGATATTTAATTATATTGACCTTGTGTCTGTCTGTCAGAACAGCAACTGATATTGTTTTCATCTAGCTTGACTCATTTTTACATAAATAGGTTATGTTCTTACAATACAAAACCTCGTGTCAAATGAGGTAGGGTTTTAAAAATCATCAAAATTTTGTCCAATTTAAACAATATTTTAAAGGGGGATTGTCAGCAAATTGTCTAATTAAGTCCTCTCCATTACGTTATTTCACAAGAAAATAATTTTACTACAAAGCCCGTGTTAAACTTACAGAAATACTTTACATATTGTTTAGAAGTAATTCATTCAAATATTAAAAGAAATACTTTGCACACTAGCTGCAATATTAAAAGAAATACTTTGCACACTAGCTGCAATATTAAAAGAAATACTTTGCACACTAGCTGCAATGTAAATCACAAAATAAAATATTTTCAGTTACAATATATGTGACAAGATATTTAGTAGTACTGTAATTTTTTTAATGATTATATCACATACAATTATTTGTATCCAAAATAAAGAAGCAAAAATAAATTATTTACCTCTAAACTTGATAAAACTGTGAATATACAAAATGATGAATCATCATCTGTGGCTGGGGAATCATACAAGTTTTGATATACTTTTAAAAAATTATTTTACAAATTTCCTTTAAAATTCATAAATTAAGTATATATAAATTCTTATCTATTACAATGCTTAAGTCCATTCCTGTAAATTCAAGTGATTAAAATATTGACCTAACCGGAATATACGTCCATCAGTTTCTCAATTGTTTTGGAACCAGTGTAGCCTGTATGTCAAATCTAACTGCATTTCACACAACTTAAAAAAAAACAACTTTCCAAATCGATTTTGAAAGTCTTATATTAGCCATTATATTGAAAATACTGTAAACAGGGTTATTTTCGCCCGCTTTATTTTCGCCCATTCAATCTTGACAACAATTTTGCCTCGATTTAAATTCGACCAGTTACACTTTTCTTTAAGAATTTTACTATATTTTTGAGTTTGCCTCATTGTAAATTTGCCCAAGCAATGCTAGGGTGAAAGGGGCGAAAATTTGCCTGTATACAGTATTTTGTGAATGAGATATGTGTTCAAAGAGAAAAAATTACTACATATTATTTACATGCATGTCTACTTGAAACTCGTCTTGGCACAAATAGTACGTTTGTTTGTCGAGCTAAAAAAGGCAAAAAAAAAAAAGTTTACAGTTGTATCACATCATGGTTTTTTTTCCCAAGAAAAAAAACGCGGTTGTTTGAAAAGGCAAAATTAAAAATCTAGTTTGGTGGTCATTTCGTGTTGGTCAGACTCTGGTTTTACATTCGGTTGAACTTTCCGATGGTATGTCGGCAGTTCGGACAGCTGTGGACGACATCTTTGCAGCCATCAACACAGAAAGGGATCAGGCAACAACCTAGCCACAACCTACAAAGTAACAGACGGAATTATTTCAAATAATCTTAAATACAAATCGACAACATTCAGATTTTAGATCTACATGTTGCTTTTTACGAGATTATTTCCTTTTAGACAAACCTTGGATCATTAACATGTATTTGAATCAATTAGACATTCTTTCAAAGTCATGTAGCAAGTCTGACATACTACATGTACATGTAGGACTATATCTGAAGAGCAACCTTTGGCCAAGTATATAAGGTGGTCATAAAATTTGTCAACAATTATAACTTAACATTTTCTAATCATATATTCTGGAACTGCAGAAAAAGGCATCTATTCCAACCCGCAGACTTCCAGGAATGTGTAGAGAGTTTCCTCCACAACCAATCAATTTAATCCTTTATAAAATTTTGGCGCTTAAAATATTCATCAGCGAATAATTATTTTTAAATTTGCTCACCCAAACAGGCACAATACAAGGGCAATAACCCAAGCAAAGGTTCCGGTTTCGTAAGAGGTTGATGTAAGGATCTCAGCCTGACAGGCCGGACATTTAGTGCGGACCGGATGTTCTCTAAACTGTTGCGTAATCACCATTCCTGGCTGATGGACAACGGTCACGCTTGCATGCCCCATCATCGGCTGATAACCTGGCTGGTAGCTCGCTGCAAATCATCAGATAAGTTGTTATGAACATTTATATTTTGTTAAATTAAATGAGTGAAGGTTAATGAAATAATGTGTAATAAATACTATAAAATAGAGAATTTTAAAAAAAAACTTAGAAATCTTTCATGTTGGTGCTCAAAATATCGAGTTTGTCATTTTCAACATGGGTTACTTGCCAATTAAAGTTACTGAGTACTTGACAATTAAAGAAATCTTAGTAAACCAAAATCATATTGGGAAAATGAACAATAATCCATTGACCTTTATAGAATTTCACAATACAAATACTTCGTTATCATTAATATTTGATGACAGTTTCAATTTGATTAATGAAATTTAAGTGTACCAGTGTATTAATTTCAATCGACATTTTAGCACTTTTCTCGCAAGTCGATGAAAACTAGAAATGTTTTTTCCTAAAACTATCACAGGTCTTGACAAAGGTAAATACACGGTTCATCACTTTGACTTACTAGAGCTTACGAGTGAATTCACTACACATGTAAGACCATGGTTCACAATTAAGAAAATATATTCAAAAATTACATTATTAATCAATAAATAAAACTGCCTTAAATTTATTATCTTTTCGAACTCAATTTTTTTTGATAATTTGCCCGACTGTGATATGTAAAACAAAGAACTAATGTAAGTGGCCTAACTTGCAGGAGAAATTGCAATCGATTGGCAATGTCTTCTTTAAAGCACGTCACGTATAAAATGACAGTTACTAAATTATTCAGTGTAGAATAACGATTTTTTGTGTGTGTATGTGACCTAGTGGGGTATATATATTCTAGTAGCAATGCCCAATGATTTTTAAAGAGTCAAAAAATTGTTAGTTTTTTATGTCCATTGTGTAAAGTATGACCCACTGATTCCATATCAGAAATCATTTCTTAAATCGGGTGAAAATTGAGCTTTTAATGAATGTTTAAAAAATGCAGAATTCTTACAGAGTTATCCATCTTTCCGAGGAAAATGATTGGAAAGTGTTCATCAGCAGATTAAAAGCAGATAATGCAGGAATACTAGATCAAAACAATTTTAGAATATAACCTATGTACCAGTTTGTTAATTTTATCTGAAATTTCATAATTTTCTCGTGCCACTGTTGAGACACAGAAGAAAATATGACACAGAATGTGAAATGCAAGAGTTGTCTTCTTTTGTTTTCTTTATTTATACAGAATAGCTTATGTCTCATTATTCGTATGCTGTGTTGTCATTTAAAGAAATAAACTTAGCAATAAAAATCAAAGTATGATTATAAATAAAGTTTTCATTTGACTTTCACTGTTCTCTTCACCAATGTAAATCAATCTTGAAATTTATTCTTGTTCACTTTGAGATGAACCCTACTTTCGTTTTCGCGCACGAAATAAGCCTTTGAACGGAATTTCATTATTAAAATGCTTCAGGATAGTTCAAAAACAAGAATATAACATTGTATCAGCTTGACAATGAAGTAAACAGACCATCATACGTTCAATTCACGTTGTGTACATTTTTTCTACACACGTGTTGGCTGGCTGCTACAATCCGAATTTGCTCCAGTAGGCCTTAGAAAATTCGTGTGGCGAACAAGAACGGTTGAATACTTGCCTATAAGTGATATGTATTTGTAGTGGTCTATCAGAAGAAGCTATTTTTGCATGTTTTGACACTGTACTCGTCCGTATATGAAAATTAGAGATTTTTTAAATTTTCAATCTATTTTTAAAACGACTAATCGCGCCATACTTCAAACATTCAGGGTTGGTAATGCTAGGGGGCATCTCAAACTTCATAGAAAAGTCATCAAAACGTTTGAAAATACGAGGGAAAGTAGTGTATTAAGCCGTACTTTTCAAGCTCTTTTTTGATACGGAATCAAAACGAGGCTGAGGAAATCTGGAAAGTTATCTCCCCCTTGCTTGGGCATTGCTAATTCTAGTATGTATACAGGTATATAGCCAGACAAACAAAGAATGGTTTAAAACAGATCACAAAGGTTGGAAGAACGAAGAGAGTTTAACATAAATTAAAACCGTTTTTGTTATCACTAGTAGAAACTATAATAATTACATGTACATGTATTTGACACAATTACATGTACATGTATGAATAGAAAAGAATCAAAGATGATGGTTAAAATAATTATTATATATATTATGTTTTAACTTTGTAGAACGAAAAGGGATGCTCTATATACCAACACAACACAACAAGTGAATGAACATGTAAGTTAATAAAAGAAACTCGATATTCATTTACATTTTGCATTCTGTCACAATGAGGGGATGAGGGGATGTTCCTAGGCTATTTCGTGCTTTGGTAGTCACACTAAGACAAAACTAACATATATTTAATACCTGTCGGCTGTCCATACATAGGCTGATATCCTGCAAAAGCACCATAAACTGAATTTAGACATAGTATTGTTGTACAAAAAAGCTAAGTTGCCCCCGAGCCATACTTTTCTTGTTCCCACAAAAAATGACTCATTCATGTGTACGCCATTTTGAGGCTTTTCTTGCTGATATATTAGAACAACAATTTAACAAAATACAACATATTAGGTCTTTTTGGATTGAAGACACAGTTCAAACTTTATTCTTAGCTTATTATTCGCTTTAAGCATAAATTTATTATGAGCAGGTTATATAAAAGAGTGTTTTACTGTATACATGTATACATTATTATTTGCTGAAAGTGCATCTACACATCGACTCATTGAATATTTCTACATATTTTCTCTTTGTTATATTGTAATTTACAGAATCTCATGCAAACATACTTTTTGATACTTCCTTATCTTTGCAATCATTACAAGTTTCAGAGATGCTGAACAACTTATTTATATAATTAGACAACCGAGCGCTAGGTCCTCTGACACCCGTCTTATGAAATGATAGTCAAGTACTTGTTAGGAATTTCCCCCCAAAAGAACCCTTAAAACAGGTAGGATTTTCATAGAGAAATGCTGAAATTGTTAAAGAAAATGCATAATGTGAAATTGATAGACTGACTCAACCTCAGACATCAGAATCCTTGATTTTTTTATTATCTAATGACATGAATAAAATGTATAATGTTGAAGACATGAACTTAAAGCGCTAGATATATAGCGAGATGCAAAAAGCGATCACAGGTTAAAACAAAAAAAATAAATGTAAAAAATTATGTTGTATGAAAGTTTTACCTGCAGGAGGGGGGACGCCCTGCCCCGGAGGAGGAGGGGGTGGGGGTCCTACAAAAGAAGTCAAGAACATGAAATACCGATATATACTAGTATGTAAATTTTGTATTTACTCTCATCTGGTATAGATTTAAAATTTACAATAGGACATATACATGATATATAGAACTTGTAAACAAAAATATATGTATGTATACTTACATGTATTAGTAAAATAATTATAAAGAATCATGATTTTAGATTAAGGAAATTATAAACACTGCTCACTGAAGAGTTGTTTTGTGGTAGATCTAGAGTGACTACCCTTTGGGTTTAGATTTTAAAGTAAATGACAAAATTTGAAGTAGATTTAAATAATCATTACATTATATTAAGTCAAATGAAACATATGGAGATAACGAACAATATTCAAGATCAAAAGTCCATAAAACATCACAAAATAGGAGCAGAGCAAACACGGACCTCCAAAACATCAGAAGTTGGATCAAGTGCCATGGAGGAGTGAGCATACCCTGTCGATCGATTACACCCACCGTGTGTTCCTTGTCATAATCGGGAAATAACAGAAAATCATTTGCAAATTAAGTGTATATATAATAAACTAAAAATTAGTATGAAAAACGTCAGTCAGCACCCGACTCAATGACAAATTGTATTCGCTGAAAGGTCATTGTATCGACCATAGAACTTACGAAATGATGACTTTAAACGAGACTGCTGATATTCTTGTTTCATCAACTTGTTTTTCAATAATTTACCTCGTTTTAAAAATTGTTCATACGTAGAACATGCTCTTGCGTATCGAATCAACTGAGACACATAAAATCCGTATGGAGGTGATGAAGGTATATTGCTGCATAAGTAAGGGAAGTTGACGATAGAAAAGTTAAAGTCATCACCTTTATCATATATCTTGGTTGTAAGATTACCATTTACGTCTTTGTCAAGTAAAATATCCATCCACATATGAAACAGGTGTGTCAGACCCTGTGGTATCTTTTATCTCAAGCTCACCAGGATATATCGTATCGACATAAGAATGGAAATTACAATTGTTAATTGACAATGCGTCGTCGATATATCTAAATGTCGAGTTGAAGGACACAGCAAGTGTTTTCTTCCTTTCAAGCATAAGATTTTGCACAAATTCTGCTTCATATGAATATAAAAATAGGTCTGCTAATAACGGGATGCAAATTTTAATCCATGGGAATTCCAATAGATTGTTGGAAGACCTTGTCTCCAAAAACAACATAGATATTGCCAAATAGGAACTCAAGCATCTTTTTGATGTCAACTTCGGGGTACTTGTGTGTACAATCAGCATTTTTTTCAACAAAATACATCTGTAATTTTACAAATGACCAATGACAAGGTAAGTTAATTTACAAGTTCCATTTTTATTGAAAAGCAGCCGTCAATGATATCAAATAGCCTAGACTTTAATTTGTCGTGGGGAATGGTTGTGTATAAAGTTGAAAAGTCGTAAGTTTTTTAAGCTGTTGATTTTGGTAAAATCTTGTGATTTCAAATTGTCCAAACGTTCCTTAGAATTTTTGAGTATCCACATCTAATTCACACCACTTCTTGAATTTATTGTTGCACAGTAATCTTGAAGTTTCTCCTTCACTACCGTTAATATCTTAGTGAGGAGTAAAAAAAGAGGCTTGGTTGAACATTTACTGGAACCCGCTATATATCTTTGTTTGTAATGATTCTTATAAAATTTCAGAATCCAATACATTTGTATGTATATGGTAGTTCAAAATCATTTTGGTTCTTTGGGATATTAAAAATATCCAAAACTGACATATGATTTTGAAGAATTTCCTCCTTAAAAAGGGAACTATGAGTATATAAAGAGCCTTACAAACAAAGACAATGTTGTCAAAATAAGCAATAATACGTAATTTCCAATGTACGTATATACTGATTACTGAGTCAACGACAGTTTTTTTCTGTTTACGATTTTTTTGTCCGTAAACATTTTCCCTGGATAAATACACTAATGACATGTATATTGTACCCGTATGTTGTGAATTAACTAGATTACATGTATCTCAATATGTACTTTTCTAAAAGTAATTTTTTTTTAGATGTTTACACCATTATCTAAGGTGTCGAAATATTAAGATCTTTCTGATATGTTAAAAAAAACTTCACCTTGTGGATAATGGACTTTTTTTTACAAGGACAAAAAAAATTGATTTTATGATCTGTTCGATAGTGCCATGCACATTCTGTGTTACATAGGAAACCCCTTTATCTGATAGTAGAGAGATCATTTCGAAATAACGTCGTCATGTCCTATATTGAGTCTGCTAATCAGAGAAGGCTTGCAAACGCCATTTTTTTTGTAATTGCTTATAACGATATGGTATATAGATACGAGGGCTGTTCAATAATTAATGTCCTCGGTGCTCGGAAAGAAGCAATAGACGCTTTTCAATGATTTAGTCTTCAAGATTTAACTTATTAATCTGTTTTAATTAAAACACATGTCCGTAACATTTTTATCCAATTTCTGATTGTTTTTTGAACTCATTTTTGGGAATGACCCTTAGTATACTGTAAAATGGCAGATCCAGTGATTTCCTGCACTTGTTTCTTCCTTCTGAAAGGTGTTTTTTCAAGTTTGGAAATAGAAACAAGTCAAAAGGTCAAAGATCTGGCGAATGTTGTTAATGTGAAAAAACATTAACTTTCTGTTTATCCCGAAAAACCCTTTACTCTTCAGGGCGTGCGGGTTTGGACGCTGTCATGAAGAAATATAATGTAGTGGATTCCTGATTCTGGGTCCTTCCTGTAATAAACCTTTCGATTTTTTTGCAAAAAAAATTGCTTTCTAGACTCCTCCAGAAATTAAACTGTCTCCCCGAATACGAATTTGAACAACAATACCACTAATATTTAAGAAAATTGCATATAAATCTGTCTTTGTGCTCTTGCACTTCTTTGCTCTTATCAGACCTTCGCTGTTTTTTATCAAGTACATCTTATGGTAAATTTTGTTTTGAGGGTTTTAAGCAATAGATTCGTTCCATTATCTGTTTGAATATCAAACAAACACGGATAACTACAGTTACTGATATTTTAAAATAATTGTTAAGACATTCGTACACGCTGTCGTTTTCACTCATTTTTCAAAATATAGGGTGACCTTTGAGTACTAAGCTTTTTTACCGTCAAACGTTTCTTAAAAACAGTGTGAACTACTCCCGAAATGATGTCTATCAAATTTGCTATGTGTCTTGAAGTCAATCATACATCATCAAATATTATTTGTTGAAATTTGGCAAACAGTACATACCAGGTAAGTTGTTATAATTTTTTGTTGGCAAGGACGGTACCCATTTTTGATGCCCATTATATAATTTTTATCATTGAAATCCACCTGCTCATTTGTCTATAAAACAGGCATTGGTTGCTGTAAATGTCAGATGTTTCAGTGAATATTTCTTTGGGATTTTTAACAAGTTTTACAGCAGCTTTAATGAAGCTGTTATTTTCACTCTAGTTTACTGATTCTTTACCATTCATTTATAATGCAGTGTCTTGAATAGCCCTTGTTTTCCAGTTTCTCACAATGAAACTATGCGATGAAAAGTGGTCACATAAACTGTTATAAACTCATTAAAGATTCAATAATGAGAGAAAGTCAAGCTTAATGTCATATGATATCTGTATTGTATGTCATACAGTTCAGGACATTAATTATTTATTGAACAGCCTTCGTATATGGTGTTTAATATTATTGTCTTGAACTCTAATTCTCTCACTTTTTTATATGTATTTTGTATAAAGCTTATATAACTTTTACTCTATTTACACGAAAACATATACATGTAGATAAGTGTACAGTTCATTTATTGACTATTTCTGTATTACGGGTATATATATATGGATTTATCACCACAACAAAGCCATCCAATATTTAGAAACAGATTAGCAACTTATATCTAGCAACATTACATTACAGAAAAAATCGATTCGTCATTTTCTCTTTTCATGGCATTTCGAAATGTTACAGATAAACCGCAAGTGTTTTTTTTTTATTATAAGAAAGCAGAAGTTTACGTAGAGTCAATAAGTCAGTGTTGCGCTCTTCTCATATATACTTGAAAGTATATGTGCTATAAAAAATTCATAACAGTTCCTTGGTAAATAAACCGTCAATGTACTCGAATAGGGAGTACCACCCCACCCCTGAAACTTGAAACCATAATAAAAGGAAACCCTACTTACCTCCCTGCTTTTCGGTCCCGGGGTAAGGAGGTGGCGCTGACATCGTATGGGTTTGATTGGGGGTTGATAACTCACGGAAGTTGAGGGTTTATACTGAAACGGGTGATTTACTCTTAGAAAATTTTTCTGATAACAACTTCAGCCTACCCGATATCGAATCAATATATTTCCTTGAGCGTGTTCTGTTATTGCCGTATGTCGGTCGATGCCTTTGCGCTATTTACCTGCGAAACAGAATTGTTTGCTTTAAAAGAGGGTACACTTGATCGATGATATGTAAAGTGTTTCAATTTCAAATATTTAATATGAATTTGAAGGGAAGCGTCGCTCGATTTTTATTTTCAATATAATATCGATTACCTATTTTACTGTTCAGGGACCATGCAAAACTTATTACCTTCTGAAACCGTTTTTGAGTTCTTATCCTAATTTTCAAATTGGTGTAATAGGTTGAAATCCATCCTTTTACGAAAAGATCTTTTTGAAGAATTTTAGAATTACTGTTCTTCTTGAAATTTAAAATACTTATTGGTGTACTTTGGCAGTATTGTAACACAGGCTTTCCAACACGAGCTTGTTGGATTGATTGATTGATTGTATATTGTTTAACGTCCCTCTCGAGAATTTTTCACTCATATGGAGACGTCACCGTATGCCGGTGAAGGGCTTCAAATTTTGACCTTTACTCGGCATTCAGGGCCATTGAGCAGTGAGGGATCTTTATCGTGCCAGCGCCTGCCGCTGACACGGGGCCTCGGTTTTTAAGGTCTCATCCGAAGGACCCCGAGCTTGTTGGAAACAACTTAAGTTGATGCGGGGAGATGGGCTTAATCCATCGATTTTTTTTTAAAGTTATCTAGTATATTAATAAGGAGAAACAATCTTATAAACATTGATTTTTAGGCCCCGGGATCTTCGATATATTGTTTTTGTCCTGCCTGTCTGTTTGTCTGTCCGTTGTCAACTTTAACCTAGCTCATAGCTATTGCGCTGTCAAGGCTAAGTGTATACCACTTCAGTCTACGTCCCGCGCCTGAATTAAGTTAACATCGGGGGCAAAGTGTTTCACAAACACATCTTGTTGATTATGTAGTATATACATTTATGGAATGGGTATGAAGGAAAAAGCAAATTTATGTTTCTATACGGCAGGTAACAAATTAGTTACCTACTCAGAGGAACCACGAATTTGTTATTTCCCAAGTATCCGTTGCATAAAAATATAACAGTTACTGATTTATTATATCAAAACAATTAAATATATGGAGATAACAAATAGTATTCAATATCAAAAGTCCTGCCAATACAAAATAGAAGCAGAGCAAACACAGACCTCCAAAACATCAGAGGTGGGATCGGGTTCCAAGGAGGAGTGAGCATCCCCTGCTGACCGGTCACACCCACTGTGTGCTCCTTGTCATGCTCGGGAATATTCAGAAAAATACGTTGTCAATTCAGTGTATAAATAATGGACTAACAATTAGTATGAAAAACGTCAGTTAGCATTTGAATCAATGATAAATTGTATTTGCTGACAAGGTCATGGTATCGACCATAGAACTTACGAAATGATGACTTTTAACGAGACTGCTGATATTCTTGTTTCATCATCTTGCTTGTCAATAATTTACCTCGTTTTAGAAATTGTTCATATGTAGAGCATGCTCTTGCGTATCGAATCAACTGAGATATATACACTCCGTATGCAGGTGATGAAGGTATATTGCTGCAAAAGTAAGGGAAGTTGACGATAGAAACGTTAAAGTCATCACGTTTATCATATAGCTTGGTTGTTAGATTAACGTCTTTTTCCAGTAAAATATCCAAGTATGAAACAGATGTGTGAGACTCTGTGGTATCTTTGATCTCAAGCTCACCAGGATATATCGTATCGACATAAGAATGGAAATTAAAATAATTGTTAATTGACAATGTGTCGTCGATCTATCTAAATGTCGAGTTGAAGGCCACAGCAAGTGTTTTCTATTTTTCACGCCTAATATTTTGCACAAATTCTGCTTCATATGAATATAAAAATAGGTCTGCTAATAACGGCGCGCAGTTGGTACCCAATGGAATTCCAATAGATTGTTGGAATAATGAATCTTACAAACAAAGACAATGTATTTCAGGAAAATTTATAAGCTTATCCATAAAAACCTGTTGTCACCCTTGCCACAAAATAAGTGTTAATTTTAAGCTTTGAAATACACAAAGGTCTCAGAGAGGTCAGAAAAAAGTCAATTTTCGAATTTTCTCCTTTTTATGCAAATTTTTATCGATTTTTCAGCTTATTTTGTTTCGGAAAACAAAGAGCACAAGCTTGCCTATTTATCAAATTTACATACAAGTTTAACTTGTCCTTGGAGTCTAAGCTATAATTTAAGGAAAAAAATTAATCTTGGCAATAATTTGAACAGCTGGTGCTAGGGTTTTTTGTCTTATATGTATGTTTTTTGTCAAAGAAAGATTAAATGATCAATATTTTTAAAAGTGGAATAGTGAAATTCAAAAATCTCCAAAAGAATAAAATTATAGCCTTTCTAAAACCGATTTTGAATGCGAAAACTTTTTAGCACTGTTTTCATGTATATTAAGAAAAAAAAACTTTTGAGAAACAATTTAGAACGACAAACCACCGCCTTTCATTTTAGACAGGTCTAGATGGAATGATATTCGAAGAAATGAAAGATTTTATAACTTATACGTACGATATGAATCAGATAAGAGATGAATATCACTGTATTTTAGAATGTGGTGTGTTTCTAGTATACCAATTGAGGAAAGATGTTTTTGTTTTGAACCACAAATGTTGTTTTAACCCAAATACTTTCAAGTTTTATGAAGAGATGAATAGAGACCAAAATGACGTTGATTCTTTGGGGAAAAAAATGTACATTTAATACTTAAGTTAATAGTATCTCACCTATTGCTTGACCCACAATACTAATATTGTAATCTATATACATTTTATATGTAACTCATACAGTATTGACATGGTTTTAATAGAATGAATTTAATTTGATTGAGACTAGACCTTCCCCTGAGTACCATTAATTTGACCTTGGAGTTTGACTAACTTTTAAAAACCTCCATCCTTGACCGAACTTTTGAACGATTTGATGCTTGGGCTTTCATATTTCACATTCATTGAAACAATTCCTTTCTTTAGGTAACAACATTTCTAATCTCTTGAGCTTGCTTAGAATTTGAATGGCATTTGAAAAACCTTAATCTTTGGCAAATGCTGTCATACGGGGCATTAGTGTTTACAAAAACATCTTGTCTTTCTACGAATAATCAACAATCTAAAAATGGAATAAATGGAATTGCTTCAACACTGAGTTGCCTTTCCTTAAACATGATTGTGTATTTCGCTGTTACATTATATCAATAGCTCTGTTACATACAGGATTTTGTATTACACTGTATAGCATATACATGTTCCTGTACAATATTTGATTCCAAACACTGTCAGAATTATTATTAGTTTCCCAAATGCCGTGCAACTATGGCGCGGACTCTTTTTACAACTCAGGCGCCAAAACTAACCAAGGAGATCAAAAATGCTTTTAGAGGATGCAGCACCACTCACATAAATAATAATTTTCCAAAGTTGGTTCTTTTGGTTCCATAATGAAACTTAAAGGGGATTAGAGATTATATTGTATAGCCTCATTTATTCTAATATTATCAAGACTATATTATACAAGAATTTCACATGAAGTTGATAGAAATATCGTGAGTACATCGTAAAACTAGGAACGTTCCTTGTAAAGTAGTTCTAGGTACGTGGACAAGTGTATATCGGTTGGGAACCATCTCATTACTTTTAGCATTTAGAATCAATAAATTAAAGAAATATTCCATTATAAAAAAAGAGTCTTGGAATAATGAGGTTTTTTTCATTTCAGCAAATTTGTGAAATAATTTTTTTTTTTTTGGAAAACGAGGGTATTTCATAGAAGTATAAATGAGATTAACAGACTGAGATAAACTGAGATTAACGGTGTCTCCAAGAAGAATAATTCACATAACTTACATTGTGTCAAGTTAGTTTTTGTTTTAAACTATATCTTTGCCAGTAAAGTGTTAGATTCGTATTTGCCAGTAAAGTGTTAGATTCGTATCAGATACGAATTGGACTACTGTAAAGTGAAGATGATATTATACTGGGAAGAAAGACATAGATCACGCAGTTCTTAGTAGAATGAGACTTTAGTGTACTTTATCCTGCCATAGAAAAAAGAGGAGAAACTTGCATTTACTATCGCACGAATGATTTTATGAGAGTAGTTGAAGATATATTTGTATGTAACTGTTATCATGGAGAAATTTTGATGAAAAAACTTCAGTTACTGAATTGTTTCTAAAGAAACAAAAGTACTCAAAATTAAAAGTTTTACTTTTATAGTATTAAATTGATTTTCCGAAAGTTTTCAAAGTAATATATTTATTTATATAAAACAATTGTTATCAATATAACAATGTTACACACGAATATAATGACTGTTGACATGCACTTGTACCGGGTATATAACGTATGCCTATCTCTCTTGTTCAAATAATGCATCCTTATACAAGCATATTGGGTATTTGCCAAAAACTGTAACCGTGTTTATGCCAATAAATATTTATATTTAAAATATTTCTATGATATGTTGTTGTATTATTTTGCTGACATGGGTCTATAATTATCTAATTTGCAGACTTGGGTAGTCCGTGCGCAACTATTTCCTAAACAGGAAGATTAGGTCGTCTGAGGACGCCATTATTGTACAAAGAAAAGGGTGTATACGTAATACGTAGGTATTTTAAACTCCAACACACCAAGTGCCAGAAAAATTTAAACGCATTACGAAAATCGGTTAGGGTCAATACTTAACATTTTTCATATCGTATGCATTACCAATGGTCTATTCGTTGTTATTGTTTGTCTGTAGTCCAAATACATATTTTGAAGAGATTTATACTAATTTCAGTTGCTCTCAAGTATATGTATGTGCCAAATATTTTAAGTAAATCAAGCTGGATTGGATCATAACATTCTATTTTAAAAGATAAAGTTGTTTATTTGATGTAGTTGCGCCAGTTTTAACAACACTACATGTATAGTTATTAACAGACATATGTTAATCATTATATATATACTGTAATTTTTATTGGTTCGAGGACGGTCAGAAAAATCAGCCATAAAAATTATGTTGAGATACATGTAAAAGATTTTTGGCCTTGTCGTGATTTGAATGTTGCTTGTTTAAGGATTTTTTTTTAAATATTTAAATTTAATTATTTTTGCATAAAAAATATTTGAGAGTGTTACTTTTATCTGTATATCATGGTGTTCTGCAGTTTTCAATCATTTCGCCCGGTCCATTAAATCAAAATTATTACCTGTATAAGTCATTTTATGTCTAAATATATTATATCAAAAGAATCTGATGCATTAACAATGGAATTCAAACAAATAGAAAAGGGGGGTTGAGATCTTTAACTGATGAAGACTGAGTCATTATGGGGAAAAAACCCAGGCCTCTTGAGACATAATTTAGGCACTTAAATCGAATGAGAAGTACATGTATATAGGAGTGAGTTAAATAACTGCCATGCATTTCGATGATAGAGATAGAGGGCATCAAAAACACGCACTGTTTTGTATGGTTTGTTATATTAAAATTGTATTTCTTTTTCAAAACATTAATCAATTTAATTATAGTTGTGATACTAGCATCTAGCTTTATAAACATTCACTTGAATAACACTAGACTCTTACATTACATTTCTTTCTTTTTTTTCATATTTGAGGACGACCTGATTTGTTATTATTTTTTTTAATATTTATGGTAGAAAATCAAATTGCAATTACAAAGAATGAAATTAGGAATTACCCCCAAGACATTTTTTCACATATACACATGTAAGTAGAAATTGAACAGTTGACGGTTTATTATATAAACAATTTCTAGTTTGTGCATTGCAAGTCACACGATTCATCCATTTTTATCTAAACAGTAATAACCCCACCGCTCTTCCATACCCTAACAAAGAGATAAATACCAAATCTGCGAAGATGGACGGTAAAGGACAACCCTCGAATAATCCACCACCCCCACCCCCGGGATACAGTCAGCCCCCTCCTGCCTATGGTAAGTACTATGAAATAGTTAATTACATATAATTAATTAGAAAATTCCTTCATATCCATGAAAATATCAATAGATTGTACTCGATATCTTGTTTGGCCGCGGTATTGCACTGTTGGTGTTGGTCAATATGTTGTGGAACTGGTTTATAAATAGCATTCGATATACACGTGTCTGTAAAGAAAATAAACATTATATTATAGTATTTAATTGCATAGTTTATGATTAACTCGTATATATAGTAAGCCATTTAGAAAGAATTTAAATAGGTTTCGTGCTACTGGACCGTGACATTTGTAACAACAACACCCCTGGGGGCCTTTGACCCGTTGACGTATAATCGTAACGTTATGGTTCATAACATTCAGTCAGAGAATTCGTCTTTCAAAGATTTTAAGGAAATCTGAATATGATGAGATTGCAAAGTTTAACTCACTGATACGTGGAAAGGTAGTTTTTATAATTCGAATGCATACGCCATGCATGGATAATATACACACAAAAATATTACTTTTCGAGCAATGACAAACCGACGAAATGTTTCACATCCGCGCTTTACTTCTTTCGTTATACTTTGTACTCTGACTTCGGATTCGTGTGAACCTAACTAATTTTATTTTTATTACAAGTAGGGCCTATATTATTTACATGTATAATAGTAGATCCCGAATTTATAATAATTTTAATACCACGATTTCTTTTATGTTTTCAAAGAATAAATGTAATCTCCGACATTTGTTCCGCATAAGTTCCGCATAAATAATACATGGTTTTAATTTTTATACCAGAGTTTTTGAAAGTGGCCGACTTCTTGGACATCAAAAAGTTTATTTTCATATAACCATTATTGGGGAAATATATATATCTGAAATATTTGAATGTAAATGTATGGGGTTTTTTTCAGCTGTAATATAGTCTATATTAAAATGTATTCGGCATTTCGTAAGAACTGACACACATGAGAAGACTTTGCGCAAAATGTCACATTTCAAAATGAATGTTATTTATATATTTTCAAAGTTTATATAATATTATCTGATTATGACATAATGTTCCAAATGCATTCAAATCTAAATTATATTATTTGCAATTTTTTACATAATTAACCCTCGGAGATGGCAAAAACAACAATTCCTCTTCAAAGCACCGACAGCAACTTTTGTCGACCAATGACAGAACTATGAACGCACCCAACTTCAGTTTCACTTTGTCTTTTTCTTTGGGACAAGAATTATTCATTGTGTTAATCGAAAGAGGGTTTTTTTCTCGTCTGCAAAGAGCTGCGATGGATTCAAATTTTTTAAATCAGTAGAATACATATCAGCAGCTTTACTACATTAATTAGCTTGGTTCTTTCCCATGAAGAAGCAAGCACGAAAAACTGTTAAACACTTGATTGGAATATGAGAAAATTTGATAGAGGTTCTTCAAACCTTATCACGTGACTGACTTTCGTTTTTGATTTCGTAGGACACCAGCAGCAGACGACTGTTGTCATGGCAGGCCATCCAGTGATGGGACATATCTTTCGGGAGACCTCGGTCCCTATGCAGTGTCCCTATTGCCGTGCCAACATAACAACAAGCACTAGCTATGAGACAGGGACGCTAACATGGATTATCTGTGGGGTGCTCATCCTGTTTGGGTAAAATCCATGTTATATTATTATTGTGCATTCTTGTTTGATATAGAGGTTTCACTCTAATTTTTAGCTTACCTGAGTTGAGGACTGAAGTGTGCTTTTTGTCAGGTTTGTACAAAAAGGGGGAGTTAGAGGGAACCTTGCACACTCATTTTTTTCCAGACATAATTATTTATTATTGAAAATGTTCCTGAAAGGCTGCCTCCACATTTATTGCAATATAGTGAAATAAGGACAGTGTAATACTTTTCTCAAGACTTGCCATTTGACTGCCAAACCAGTCGTATTTATTTGGAAGCATCCTCGGGTAGCGTTATTTTAACTTAAGTACTAGTATGTCAAAATCATAAGCCTCAATGGAGGCAGAGTGCAGCCATAATGTGCAATCAATGCTTCACAAAGGAATACAAAGGAATACATAGACAAAAATCTTTAAAATATTATTTTCATGCACATGGAAGTCACTATTAGTCATAGGTAGGGGAAATAATTCGCGGGTAGCAAATGCTAGTACATGTATTCATTTTCTTCTGAAACCATGACTCCATGGGAGAGGAGAAAAGCTACAGTGGGCAATCAAGGATTTACAGATTAAAAACAATCTACTGACGAAGAACATCTTTGGTCCATGGGCCTCTTGTAATTTCAAATGTACAAATGTGCTAATTGGATGTCATTAGAAGAAAATTGCGATCTACAAAACATATCCTTTTACTGCAGGTATATTTTAGCCCTTGGAGGTGTGTTTGGTTTTCAGTATTATCATTTTTCAGTAATTTAAGAAGCTGATGCTGACTTTTGTATCTTTAAAATTTTAGAATTTCACCCAAATGCTTTTATTTTGCAGGCTCTGGCTTGGTTGCTGCTTGATTCCATTTTGTATTGATGGCTGCAAGGACGTCATCCATACTTGTCCAAATTGTAACCAAGTTGTTGGCAAATACAACCGGATGTAGCATGGAGTCGAGAAGAGCTGACATGTAGCGGGGATTCACCGTGGCGGGCGACTAGTTTTATCTAACACTTACATATGTTAAAATATGTAATCCTTTTTGATGTAATTATACAGATTTATTTTACTGTAATAACTTTGTGTTTCTATCTTATCAAGACCATCATTTAATTTTTTTTTTTTTTGGTATAGTTCTACTTTTAAATCCATTTTTTTCTTCACTTATTTTATATGTAGAAATTGTAGCTTATCGTGTGATTTTAGTGTTTTTGTTTTACAATACCTCATCTCTCTCCTACAAGATTTCTGTGATCTACGCAACTTTTGATATTGACGCAAATATTTTGATTGTTTTAAATGTCTATATTTTAGATTTGCAAACATATCATTCTTTTGAAGTTCTTTTTAAAAAATAATGTGTTAAAATCTTCTACATTTCATTTTGCTTTTAGATTTCAGAAGTAATTTTGATGTGATTTGTTTAAATATAATATTTTATTATAAAAATATTTTAATAAAATATCAATTCATTTTTTTGGTATATTTTTTTAGCCGGGCTTATTGCTCAAAGAGCAATTAAACCGTATACAACGGGTAACGCGGGGGAGTCGCTAAAAAGTATGGGGGGTCGTTTTCAACGTATGGGGGAGTAGATTTTCACCGCTTTGGAGTCAGAAGAATTATAGGTCACGCCTTTTGTGGTATATGTAAGATGTTTTTACAAAAAAACAAATATCCCACGGAAGGTAGCAATAGTTAAGCTTTGTCTTGGTCATTTGATGTGCTAGCATATACGTCTAGTTTTCTCAAACACTTCGAAACTAATCGACAGATTTCATATATTTGTTGATCAAGTGGTTAAAAAATGCATGATTTGCACAATCTACGACTTGTGTAGGGATTCCGACAGTTAAAACAGCAAAAGCAAACGTTTATCTTTTAAATGCTACATTTAAAACTTCTCTATACTTAATAAAAATTATTATTATACCTCATTATAAATATTCTACACAACGCGTTCTCTGATTGGTTCTAGGTTATCACTTGATCGGGCCGTAAAACTTCATATTTCACGGCTGTCGGCATGCTTTTCATCATATTCCACCTCTTCGGATACTTAGTGCATTTTCCTGAAATAATTATCGTTCGTTTAAAGAAAACTCCCGAGAGTATAGTAGACGTCACAATACCCTGGTTTACGTCACAAAATTGATGATAATGTGTTGACCAAAGAGTTTTAGTAACGTTTTGTTAAAAATGAAAGTGAATTTGAGAGCAGTGCCGAATTTGAAAGTTTATGTTTATTTCAAAGGTTTTGCTTGTTTCGGTATAATAATCAATTCATTGCATGAATGTTCGGGAAACGTGAAGACTTATTCAACCAAGAAATATCATATTCCCCTCGGGCAAAGCCCTCGGGGAATATGATTTTTCTTGGCTGAATAAGTCTTCATATTTCCCTCACTATCATGCAATAAATGTATAATATTTAAGACATTTTCTCTTCAGACAGTAAATGTTACGTAGGGGGGAGTCGTTTCTGGAAAACCACAACGCATAGGGGAGTCGCACAATTGAATTGTACTATTATTTTAAATTTAAACTTTCCATTTGCTAAATGCTTCCTTACACTTATTTTTGATAATTTCATAATTTAAGTAAAATGTAACATGAATAAAAATCAATATAAGCAATATGTACAAGTGAAAATAAAAAAAATGTATTTATCGTTCCCTATTGTGAAGCGCATGAGTATATACCAGTACTTCACAATACTAGTACATATTACTACATGTACATTTGATATGGTTTCTGCTCGGATGAGCAGTGGCATATCCCAAAAAATTCTGCGATAAAATACCATTGGGCAGTTCAGTTAATGTCGAAGAAAAAATAGATAGAGATATGGAAGGGTGGGGTAGGAAAGGGGACTTTAGCTTTGCCACTTTCCTTCACACATAACATAAATAAACTTCTAAAGAATATACTAGTATTTCGGAATGAGGGCATGATATTTGAATATTTTTCTTTGTGAATTTTGATAGCTCTCATTATTATCAGAACTTTAGACCCTGCCCTTACCCTGCGAGATGTAGGACCGGCCGATGAGATATTGCACCGTTTACGTCACAGTATGGGCGGGGTCAGCTGTCAGAACTTTACGATCGAATTAAACAAGTTTAATTAAACTGCAGTGCGGATAATCAAAATTTCATCATGATATCATAATATACAGTAAAAAAAACAAATCATTTATCGAATTTGTTCTCGGGCAAAAATGCGTTTTGTCAACCCCTTGAACAAAACTATTTGTCTTCGACCTAAATTGTAACAGCCTCGGGCAAACAGTTTGGTTCTTCGGTCCGACAAAACGCATCTTGTTCTCGAACCCTGTTTATGAATATATAGTACTGGTTGCCCCCTTTCAAAAACTTCATGCTCGTAAAAGAACATATCATGTGCGGTCCGTGTAACAATTAACAATTCAAATTTCTAAAACGATTTAGAGTTTTAGAATGTTAATATAATAGTTCAGATTTCTAACTTTCAAAAACTCAAACTGATTTTCTATATAAGAATTTAATATTTTAGTCAAAAACTTTAAATTCTAAAATTTCCAAAACGGGTTTTAGAATTTCAAGTTCTTAGATTTTTACCTTAAATGTTAATATATCAATTCTCTATAAAAATCAAAATTTTAAATAGGGTCGTGGACATGACATATCTCCGATTTAGCTGAAATTCACACCATTTACTACAATTGGTATGTCTTTAACAAATATGATGTTAAAGTCTAACTTTTCAATTTGGTTGCCATGGTAACAGGGATGTTATATTTAGAACCCTCTGATTAAGCAAATTTTGCTCTGTTTTAAATTAAATTTGTGCACATTCAATTAATTAGTAAAAATTCACATGAAAATTATATTATGTTAGCTCATATTACTTAAATCTAAGAAATTAATTTCATTCAAAGATATTTGAATGAAGATTAAGCGAATTTTCATTGCAGCATTAAGGCTGTTAGCATATTGGCAATTTGCCAAATTTGTCTGTTTTAGTCATATTCAATGAAATTTTTCACCATTTTGACAACTGATATATTTGTAACCATGTATCATTAAATAAACTATATATTCTAAGGTTTTATGAGAATAAAAAAAATTAATGGGTAAATCAAAAACTTTCTAGAAATTATTGCATGAAAATTGGCAATTTGCCAAAATTGACTTTTTTAGTCATATTCAATGAAATTTTTCACTATTTTGACAACTGATATATTTGTAACCATGTATCATTAAATAAACTATATATTCTAAGGTTTTATGAGAATAAAAAAAATTAATGGGTAAATCAAAAACTTTCTAGAAATTATTACATGAAAATTGGCATTTTGCCAAAATTGACTTTTTTAGTCATATTCAATGAAATTTTTCACCATTTTGACAACCGATATATTTGTAACCAAGTATCATTAAATAAACTTTATATTCTAATGTTTTGTGAGAATAAAAAAAAATTAATAAATTAATGGGTAAATGTACAGCTTTCTAGAAATTATTTCATGAATGACCCCCCCCCCCTCCATTAATCACAAATAACAGAGAAGATCATCTAAGAACATGTTTTACCAAACTGAACAAATTGTTATGTAGTATGAATATATGTCAAGTATTTAAATTTCTTTTCAATAATTAAATAGAACTTCTGAAATTAACTCAGTGACAGGTAAAATAAAATGTTGCCATGGAAACAAATCAGGCTTCTAGTTATTTTAATCTAAATATGAAATAAAACAAGTGAGTTTCCAAAAATTCTGACAAATCTTTTAATGGCCTGTAATTGTGTCCAATCCTTTTGATTTATTCACTAAAATATGTTCAAAACAATTGTTTTATGGTTAATTTTTTTAAAATGTATCATTAAAGTAAAAAAAGGCAAACTCATATTTAATAAATGATATGAAAGTATTTTATGAAAATATGAAAGTAGGTCAGACAATATAATGTCAAAACAAGTTGGCAAGACCATCTTGATTATAATGTTTGTTTGCCCTCTCCCAGCTCAAGGTAAAATTATTAAGTCGCCTCGTTAGGTAGGTTGTAAAATCTTTTTCCCAGAAAATTTCATAATATTTGTTGACGAGATAAGATGGGTAAAAAAGAAAACCATCCTGTCTTGCAATGTAAAAAAAGTTTTGAATTTTAGTTAGTCTGTTGGGGGAAGGCAGCCAAATTTCTTTAAATGACCTTATATGCTAAATATTGTGAAATTAATTTTTATTACCACATTGCTTATCAGCATATTCAGATGATCAGTTACATGTATACTATGTTCTTTAAATGGGTATAAATATTTTTAACCATTTGACCTTGACCTTAGACATTGACCGACTTAAAAAAAAATTTAACCTAAGAACCACAACTTTTGAAGTTGGACTAGATTTTCATATTTCATAGGTGTTTTACTTGTGGGAAGACCTTTCTTGGGATACCTCGTGGGAGTCTTGACATAAGCTGCAATGTATGGGGGAATCAGTGTTTCACAATTAATCTTGTTCTCAGTTTTGTTAAAATGTATTCATATATATTCTAATCATTCATAACATACTGTGTGAAGCCTGCCAATATAAAACTCTAAATTTGTGAGCCCATGTGGGGGTATATAATAAATCAGTATACCACCTCTCCTGCAGAGAGGGTACATAAAAAGGGAAGAAACTGCTTCTTTGCATAAAACTGCTTTTCTAGAAAAAAATAAACAAGACATAAATTGGAATGTATGCTTCACTTAAACAGTGACATTTTTTGAAAATACAAGAAATCAATTTAAAATACACATATTCTCTAAGGAAAACAGATGCCCTGCTTAAAAAAAAAAATTTGCTAAAATTTGTTCCTTCATATTCTCTCATTTGATGTAAGCTTGGTTTCCTCGAATTCACATTTCTTTATGTCCTTTTGTGTAAGTTTGAAAAGTAGCTCAGCCTTGCAGTATTGATTTGCTGTGGATTTTAGTAAATGATCATTAGAAAACCATCTCTATGTCCATCTTGCACCAGTGACAACTTTTACTGGATCATCTTTTCTTTCTGCTATTTTTCCTACTTTGTATTTTTCATGTAAAATTTACTTCCAGTCCACTGTATATTGTTTTTTTTTCTTTTTAGGGGGGGGGGGTGTATGTCCTCTGCTCTGGTCATCTCTATCTGTTCACATGAAAATAAAAAAATAACATTAATTTTTGGTCACTTTGGATAAAAATTCATTTAAAAATTATTTCAAAAACTTAAAACTGGAATCTTAAAATTTTGATATATATAAAAAATATACATTTTCAACCTATAAACATTATTATCTCCCTTTATGCATTGTTGTGGCAATCATGTCTTAAGCCACCATGAATCCATGCAACTTAATACACACTACATGTACCTGTGTGGTCTCCTTGCTAGAAGATCTGTAATCCTGAGAATCTTCATTAGGAGAATCTTGCAAGGGCTGCAATGATCAATTTAAAATTATTTTTTA